TTTTATCTTATAAAATTTAATATGCATGATACTTAGATTGAATATAAATGTTTTTAATATAAATCAAATACGTTTAAGATTATGAGTTCTCTTAAACTTATTTGAACTCACCAAACCAAAAAAATATCGCATTAATATGTAAATCTTTTTAAATAAAAAAAATCAGAGAAATAACAAAAAAGTAAAAATGATGATTTTCGAAATTCAACCATTAATATTTGATTTGTAAAGTTGTACGTTTATAACAAAAGTGCAATTTTAGTTAGAGTAATATGAATACAATTAAACAATATAAAAGAATGATCAATGTACATAAATACAATTTTTATAAAACATTATGTTTAAATATTAAAATATTATATTTTAGTTGGATTTAAATCTGTGACACATAGAATTTTTGCTCTTACTGTTTGATCAATTAATAATACTAGGTATACACGCAGGATTTTTTTAAAAAAATTCTTGTTAATCTTGTGTAGTTTGTTGTGTGTGTTTTTTTTCTTTGTTATGTTTTTATTAACATTGTTTAAAGAGAATTTGCACTTAACATCCAAAAAAACTTACAATAATGGAAAAGTAACGTTAACCTCCTATAGTTTATAAAATGAACGGTTATTTAGCTAATTTACTCTTGTTTAAAATATTGTTGTTTTTTGTTGGGTTTATATTACCGAATAAAGAAATAAAAATAAACATAGCAATTGAAGCGAGTAGGAAGTGTTAATTCTTCCAAGTCTGAACTTTTCGTTCTTCGTAGCTGAAATAGTGTCATCCATTTGGGTTTCATCTGTGAACCGGATTAAGAATTTGTTGTCAGTTATCTTGTACTGATTGAAACTTGGAACAACTTCAAATTGGCTCAAAGTATATAGGTTTTCATCTGGAATTTGGGGATCGGCCGATGATAAATTGAGGCTTGAATCAGAGTATCCTGGTTAAAAAATTAATAATAAGAGTTGGAGGTAGGTTGTAAATAAGAGTTAAAAAATAAGTGAATAGAAAGAAATTCGTAACATGCACTCGATTGACCTTTTCATCCAATAGAAGTAGATCAAGACTCATTAGTGCTCCATTTAGTTTGAAGGATATAATTGGGAGAGAAGTAAGAAGAAGTGAATGGTAATGCTTTGAGATGCAGTTATTTATAGGATCGTAGGTGTAAGTGTAGATGCGCTATATATGGCTTCTTGATGTGAGTTTTGTATAATAATGACTCACAGAAAACCATATGTATGTAGTCAAAGTTTGGTG